CATCATCGGGAGATGGTGGTCAGAGAATTATAGTCAATTGTTGATGGCTGGAGGACTGTAGATCGATATGGTGGTTATAGGGCAATAATTAAAACATAGTGATTGGGGGATTGAAGAAGGTAATGGTGGTTGGAGGATTGTAATCGGGCAATGGATGTTAGAGAATAACAGTTGGGTGACTATGATTAGAGGAACATAATTAGGATATTGTGGTAGAATGCGTAATAACCCAAAGTTTTAAAAATATATTTATTTGAAAAATATGACAATTTTGAATTCTAGCACTGCAACGCCATGCTTTTGGGCACATTTGCACTAGGCGGAGTAGCGTTAAGGGGCAGGAATTCAACACGGTGGTGCTGAGCTCTCTATTCTATAACAACATTGGATTAAGCATGTAGAAAATGCGGCGTCGGGTCCAAAGCACTAAGGCACTGGTCGCTGAATTATGTTTTTTAATATAAATTTCTGCACTAAGACATTCATCCCCTTTCTTTGTTTGGTTTGTCGGGGAAGGAATTGAAGAAGGAGAGGAGAAGAGAGAGAAGGGCTTCCGAGGCATTTTTGTCCTCTACTTCTATTACAAAAATTATTCAAATCATTGCATGTGATTTTTATCATATATTTGTTTACAAATTTTGATTTTGGGATTTATTCTTATGTATAAATTTATATTCATTCAATATTCTCCTAATTTAGTGAACTTATATTATATAACTTTTGGTATATTATAGTACTGATTATTCTAGTCATTTTGAGTAGATGGTTTTGTATTTTCACTTATTAAAATGTTATTATATTTTATATGATTTGAGTAAGAATAAGATATGTAGTGATTTTAGCTTACCGATGAAACAAATTGTGAATATATACAAGTGGATGAATGAATAATTGTTAATTGTTATTAATAATATATGGTCTATATTTTGTGCAAATAAGAAAGGTTGATTCTAAGAGAGATTGACTTGAGAATGATTTCACCCTATTCAGAAGGGTGAACCAAAGGACTTTCATTAAAATAAGATTTATGGTGCTATCCTCGATCAAGATTAAGATCAAGATTGGGAGTTATAAAGAGTTAAGATGACAATTGGCAAGAGTGAAGACTCTTGAAGAAACCACCTGAATATTAAATAAAAGATTAAGATATTACAATGAACATGATACATGAGCAATTATGAAAAACATCACACAAGCCATAACATACATCCACTCTTACGTACTGATATGATATTGATTTCAAGATTAAGGTATAAATGTGATTAAGACAAAGACAATATACTGCAATGATGGTCTCACAATGGTAGTGCTCAGGCGGAGCTAATTTAGAGTTCTTTAGACCGTTGAACTCTCTTGAATTACTAACCATGGGTCTTCATTATGTAGAGAGGCCATACATATTATAGATTATTAAGAGTGGCATGCCCCATAAATATGGAGAAAATTTTGAGCACATAATCAAATGCTCCATATTTATTTCTTTGATCATAGATCTTTTGTTTGACATTTAAGTGCCTTAATGTTTTCGGATTTAAGTGATCTTAGGCTCATTGAATTTTCTTGTCGAGATGCTAAATTTGACTATATGTATCCCAAATTTAAAGATTATTTGATCATCTAATTAATATTTCAAACTTTTTAACTATGCTTCAAGCTTTTAATTTGGCCTAATTTGGACTCAAATAGAATCATCTTTGGAGTTTTCAAGTTTGTCATGTCAAGCCTATCAACTTGACTATGAGTTTATTGAAATCAAAGTTTGAATGGTCTTGAATTGAATATTAAAAGATTTTAATGCCAACATGCATCGAGATTTGGCTTGATCAAGTTGATTTTTGATGACATATTAGGTCTCAAAGTAAGATTTGAGTTATAACTCTAGAAAGACGTATGTCATTAGCCCTATCTATTAAACCTATAACAAAGTCATCTTCAATGCGGATCACAATACAACCACCTTCAACCATATCAATAGCCTATATTGTTCCATTCATCTACAATGTTCCTAATTTATTCATGTAGGGAAATACCTCAACACCCTAGACCATTTACTCTCTAAATGTCTAAGTCACATCTTGTGCTAAAATCACTCAAATTATTTAGGGATGGACCACTCTTAAGCTACTTTAATTTGAAATCAATCAATGTTGCTCCACTAGACCACTACTCTCTCTTTATTGACTCGACTTCTCACATAAAATAATTCCTTTTTTATCTTTTCATCATTTTTTAATAATTCATAATCCATTGATACTTCTTAAGCAACTACTTAAAAATATATGAATTAAATTAACACACATTATCAAATTCACATATAACATTTTTCATAGAAAATATTGACAAACATGCATACATGAAAAGTACAATAGATGAAGAAGCACACACACTCTAATATTATAAATATCATCATGAATATATAACATTCTTTTTATACATTTAAATGGGTTTCCTCAAAAGATAGAATCCCATGATTCTCACCTACCATAGCATTTGCAAAAGGGAAACACCTTAGTAGCCACCAAACTAAGTAGTGAAAGTAGGAGACAAAAGCTCCAAAATCTTATCCTATCTGACCACACTCAAGCTCAATGGATGGACATAGCTTATTTGCCAGTCATTTCAATGATAATGCCCCATCCACTTTTCCCCACTTTTTAAAGACAAATAAAATACAATAATTTCTTAGAAATTAACAAATACAAAGTAAAATAAACTTGTATTTTTTCCTATTTTTTAAATACTTTAATTAATAACAAAATGTTTTTAAAAATATTTCTTTTTTTGTTGTTTCACATTGGTTGCCTTCATCTCTTACTATTAGTTTTGTTTAGGACATCTTCCTTATTGCTTTGTAAAGCTGTTGTAGAGAATGTAGCTTTTTAGGCTTCATTTGGAATGACTTTCTAACTATTTCTTAAAACAGTGAACATTATTTTAAGAAGCAGAAAAAAAATCATCCCAAACGAAGCCTTAAAGCTGTTGTAGAAAGCAACTTTTTAGTACAAAAGTTTTTTGGAAGTAGTAAAAAATAATGACCAAATAAAAATTATGGTTGCAGCTTGAAAAGCAAAGCAGTAGGTAAGCTGTATCAAATGAAGTTTTAAACTTGTTAGCTTTTGTTTTACTTAAGAAAAAACAAAAAATATTTCTAGTTTTCATATTATTCATGTTATTTTACCTTCTTGATCATTTTCTTCACCAAAAGATCATTTGAGTGTATTGAGGAAAAGCCTCCAAAGGTCTCAGGCTTCATTTGGGACGGCTTTTTTTACTCCTTAAAATAATTTTTTATTACAAAAATTAAAATTTTGTACTAAAAAATAACTTTAAGTAGTAAAAAAACCATCCCAAACTAAGCCTCAGTCATGAAGGGCATTAAAACAATTGATTATTTCGATTCACAACGCAATGTTTATTAGATTATATTCTAAAAATAATTACTCTCATTAGATTTTTATCAGCTCAATGGATTCTGTATGAGATTAACTGAATAATCTCCTTTGGATGTTAAAAGAGGAGTCAATTGTAGCACCAATTTGGGCTTGTTTTCCCTACTACAAAGTTTGTTTGGTTACTTACCAGTGTTGTCTTATTTTCTATTGATCATGCCTTTGGTAATTAATATCTATTGCAAGTAGTTTGGTGGGAATGGTTGCTACCCTAAAGTTTGTCATAAAGATTTGGATTGGTTTTGGAGCATAATGGATATTATCAACTTGAAATATTTTAAAATTTTCCCTTTGCACCTATTGTAAAGTTTCGCACGCATGGTGATTATTTTTTCTTTTTTTGATCTTCATTTGGTATTGAAAAAATTATGAAACTTATCTAATGAACAATCTAGGCTTTCTTGGGACGCCTTTCTTACTGCTTCTTAAAACAGTTTTTTAGTACAAAAATTAAAATTTATGCGTTAGAAAATTACTTTAAGAAGCAGTAGAAAGCCGTTCCAAACGTAGCCCTAATTTTTTCAAGGTAAGTCAGTTGTCTATTTATTTCTTAATTAGGATAGGGGAGGGCAAAAGTTTGGTTGTTTTTTCACCCTTATTTGATGAAGCTTTTATTGACAAACAATTTTTTAATGGTTTCATTCATCCTCCTGAAAAACATTATTAGTAATGAGACTTTTATTTGGGGGAGGTAGCTATTGTTATTTTGGATATCTCTTGTGAACTAGAAAGGAAATATTTTCATTATAAAAAATTAAGTTACAAAAGGGGAAATCTTAGACCTAAAAGAGAATGTTTCTAAGAATTAACTTGCTTTTTTGTTGGTTTCCAGTGTTGGTTTGTTTCTTGGAAGCTATGGTTGATTTCTTGCTGTGTGGATTGGTTTTTGGGTCCTCTGTTTACTTCTCCTGGGTCCTCCGAGGTTGGCTTTCAGGGCAATTTTTTCTCTGGTTTCTATTCTGTTTGTTTGTTGTGGTGTTGTTTCATTGCATGCTAATTTAGGTTCAACTTGGCTTATACTAGTTGGTGGATAAGTTTTGACTTTTTTAGGCAGTGCATTGTTGTTTTTAATCTTTTGGTTTGGTTTCTCTCCTTTTTGCAGATGATTGGTTCAGAATTCATGGAAATTCCACCGAGGTGCTTTCTTGAGGGTTGGCTTAAATCCTGCATCCCTTTTGCTTTATAATTTATGTCTTATAATTTAGATATGATCATTGGCTCATCAAGTTTATTTTATTATGAATGTACTTTTTTTGTGCTTTAGAGAGCATTTGATCTTTTAAGGACCTGTAACTTTTCCCCTAATCAACACGTAGGCCTCTCTGTGGGTTTTTACAAAAAAAAAAAAAAAAAACTTAAAAGACTTCATTTGGGACAACTATAAAAATTTTTGAAGAGATGGAAATGCTATTTGTGTGTGAAGATAAGGATAACTGTGCAGAGCATGCAAATATAAAGTAAATGACATTTTTACATCTCACAAGTTGCAAAGACACTGCACATGCAAAGCAGAATGTTTACCATAGATAAGTACAAAAACTCTATTACTTCCCATACTGCCAACATTTCAACATATATTTAAGGATTAACAACTACAAGCCTTACAGAAGAGTTCCCTCTCAGCATAAATAGCTCTACTTCTCAACTATAGCATCTCCTCATCTCTTCAATAAGAAGAGAGCACACAATGTACTAAAACTCTTCTCTTTTCAAAGTCACCACTTCATGCAGTGCAGCCACACTTCCATGTCTTTCTCCACCCGCCGCCGGCAAAGCGATTCATCCGAGCTTGATGTTTTCGATGCTTCGCGGTACTTTTCGGGTTGCATTGACGGTGTCGGCTTTGGCTTTGGCTATGGCTACAACAGCACCACTATGTCCTCTCATAGACCCATTGTCATGAAAAAGAGTTTGGAGATGATGGCTTCTCTTCCATGCCAAAAGGTTCAGAGCTTAGTTAACAAATTTGTGCATTATATCAATATAATAGAATGAATTATTCAAATTTTTAATTTTTTTTAATGAAATTTGTATAATGTAACATGTTTATTAAGGTTGAGAGCACCATCAACGAGGAGAAGAAATTCAAGCAGCCTATCTCACCTGGAAGAAAATTTGCCACCTTTCTCAACTCTTTATTTCAACAAAAACCTTCCAACAAGAAGAAGAACAATCAGAAATCTTTAATGCAAAAGGTAGATCAAAGCAGTGGACAAAGAACAGCAAATTCAGAACACAAAGGAAGAAAGATAGCAAAGAGCCTCAAATCCTTCAACAGTACTGCATTTGGGGAGAAGAAATGGCTTCTAAGGAGAAATGTTGATGAGCTTATGGTGAGGAAAAGGGAAGAAGCTGAGATAAGAAAGAAAGAGAATAGAGATGAAGAGAGTTTTGATCATGAGAGTGACTCAAGCTCTGATCTGTTTGAGCTGAAGAGCTATGATTTTGCAGATTTTAGCTATGGGTTGCCTGTTTATCAGACTACTAAAGCTGGGGTTATTAAAAGAGGAGCTTCTGTTAAATTTTTCTAGTTTTGCATTTCAGAGAAAAAATTTTAGTGAAATTTTCATGTTCTAGTTCTCATTGTATTTTGAATGAGCATGAGAAAATAGTTCTTATGTTTGATGTCACTTTCAACTAAGTATCTTATACGTGAACTCACATGAACTCAAGAGAAAGAAACTCTCATTTATCTTTTCCTCTAATTTCCTTTATCCCTTCCATGCCAATGTTGCTCAACAAATAGGTGGATCATCTAATTACTTCGTTGTACATTAAATTTCTCATGCTAAACTCATCCTCTTCATTGCACTATATGGATGTTGGCTGTAAAGCCAACCACTTATGTTAACCTTTGTTTGTTATTCTCATCTTCTTCATTCATCCACTACAGGAAAATGGATTGTTACCGACGGACGAAATCCGCCGCTAACAGGGAAAATCTGCAAGAAATGTTCCTTTTATTGCAGAAATCCATACGATGGTAATTCGCGTGTCGGAAAATCTAATCAGGCATAATTTTTTGTCTGGTCGGATCTTCCGGCGACAAAGATGAAGGTTGCACTTTGTTTTCTTCGAATGGATTCCTACGTTTAATCCGCTAGCATTTCTGGCGGAAAAAGTATGCCGGAAATTCCACCGTAAATTTATCGGTGCATATTCCCAGGGGCGGAACCGGCTTTAATTTTGAGGGGGGGGCAAAAATACAGCACAAAAATAATTAAATATTAAAAAAATAATATTATAAATCTATACATTATGAAAAGTTTTTTAAAAAAATTAAGCAAGAAAAATAAAGAAAAATGTTTAATTAAATTGTTATTAAAAGCATGAAAGAGAATTGTTGCATCCTGGAATATTCGCGACGGTAGAGAAATATATAATTTAATGTCTTAGCATTGTACGAAAATCCAGCACACAATCAGATAAGTGAGAGGGTGATGGTCTGGCCTTGAGTAGGAGGTCGGGTCTTAAGCAGGACGTCAGGTCTTCAGCAGGACGTCAGGTCTTCAGCAGGACGTCAGG